ATTTATTTCATGGTATTGTAACAAGCAAACGTTGAATACATTTTTCATTCGTGTAAGAAGAATTATTTAACACGATAAATTTAGCTGTACTATGGTTATTTTTAATCTACGACCACAGGTCAACCTGATTTTTAATCCCTACGAAATTAATTTAACCACGAGTAAGTAACGAGAACGCTAAAACCTATGTTTCCATTGAAGAATATTGTAAAAACGTATAAATTGTTATATGCAATGTTATAACAAATTGTCGGAAGTATAAATTTTTAATAAAATTGTGAAAATTGATAAATTATACCGTGTTACGATATCGGAAATCTCCCGCGAAAATCTCCCGCGAAAATTTCCCGCCTGACCTAACCGACGATTTTGCTAATGACTTTGGGGAGAGGGTACCGCAGGTATATAAGGACCCGCCGATGTCCCGCGAAATCATTTACCCTTTATACTGGGCCCTAGACACTTCGCGGCGTATTTTGACCTGAAGGTTCTGAGATGTGAATAGAGTGGTCGGGGGCTACTAGCTAGTCTATGTCCACCCTGTACACACTCAGCCTTCTTGTAACACTTGTATACATTAGAATCAATTAGAATTTCTATTACTAATTATTAAACAAATTTTAACAATTACCGGCACTCGCTAGGCACGTAATATCAGACTTTAAATACTCGACTTCGAACTTCGGTTTAGTCATAATTCTATTAATGTTATAATAACGTATAATTTATTAATTTTCACAATTTTATTATTAATTTATACTTCCAAAAATTTGTTAAAACATTACATATTATTATTTATACATTTTTGCAAGTTTCTTTGACAAATAAGTACGTTTCAACGATCTTATTACTTTCTCGTTGTGAAATCAAGTTCGGAGGATTAAAAATCAGGTTGACCCTTGGTCGTAAATTTAAAATAGCCATAGTGAAGGTGAAATTATTATTTTAAATAAATGTTTCTATACGAATTAAGAATCTATTCAACGTTTGTTTGTTGCAATACCGTGAAATAAATTGTATTATATATTTTCTCAGTTTAGACTGAATTTAAAGTTCGTAAGGATTAGAAATCAGGTTGACCTGTGGTCGTAGATTAAAAATAGCCATAGTGAAGGTAAAATTATTACGTTAAATAATTGTTTTTATACGAATTAAATATTTATTCAACGTTTATTTGTTGCAATACCGTGAAATAAATTGTATTATATATTTTCTCAGTTTAGACTGAATTTAAAGTTCGTAAGGATTAGATATCAGGTTGACCTGTGGTCGTAGATTTAAAATAGCCATAGTGAAGGTAAAATTATTACGTTAAATAATTGTTTTTATACGAATTAAATATTGATTCAACGTTTATTTGTTGCAATACCGTGAAATAAATTGTATTATATATTTTTTCTGTTTACACTAAATTTAAAGTTCTGTTTACATGTTATAACAATTAGAATGTTGACGTTTTGCCGTTTCACGGTTTTTCCTCTGTTAATTATGTGTTTATAAATCATTTCAAACTAAAGCAGCACCATGCCCACCCTTAATTAAACCGTCTCAGTAGTTTACCGTAATTAATAATCTATTTTCGGAATTTATACGAGAATTTTTGAATTTTAGTAAATACTAGAGTCAGTGCATCGCGTATTGAAATAATAGCTTATACAGATAATCTGGGTAACGTGTTGACGATACACTTTCGAGTATAGACGTTAAAGTTCATAGAGTTCATAGAGTTATTACCGTAATTAATAATCTATTTTCGGAATTTATGCGAGAATTTTTGAATTTTAGTAAATACTAGAGTCAGTGCATCGCGTATTGAAATAACAGCTTCATCCCTAGTTCGTTTATTATTGAATATTTTTACGCGTTTAACTTATGCTTCTCCCCAATTCTCGTCGCGTATTTTATTCTTATATTCTAGAATTGAGAAAGATATGTATTCGCGTTTTTTCTTTTGATTCTTTCAATTTTTCAATTGCATTACGCATTATTGCAATAATTTCTATCGTTACATTTAATTCTAATTGTTTAGCAGCTTTTCTGCTGCTATCGAGCCTACATTTTACTCACACTTGTGGAATCGACCCTACATTTTTTTTTTCTTTTTTTTACGTGGATGTAGGCCGACCCTACATTTTACTGACACTTGTGGAATCGACCCTACTCTCCAAATGAAATTTTCCAAAATAACAGTTGAAGAATTTTGGATTTCTGTTCAAGCCGAGTTTAAAACTGTTCCTGAAAAAGGGATTAAAATTTTATTACAATTTTCAACATCGTACTTATGCGAGCTTGGTTTTTGAACATTAACGAATATTAAGGCAAAGAAACGTGAAAGGCTGACAAATATAGAAGAGGAAATGAGAGTAGCTATTTCACACATCAGACCAAATACTGAAAACATTTGTAAAAGTCATCAGGCCCAAATATCCAATTAAAAAAATTGTGACAATTTTCTTTTTTTTACATTTCATTTACTGATTGTTATTTGCTATTGACTGATATGTAAACTGTTATGTATGTGATTTTTATTTATTATACAATATAAAAAATATATATACCGTTTTATTTTACGATTGTGTTCCGCAAAAATCTTGTAAAATTGTAAATGTTCCGTGACTCTGAAAGGGTTAAGAAGCACTGATCTAAAGGATCGAAGGATTATTTGTGTAACAGGGTTACTTATTACCCGCACAGTAAGTTCTTTGAAATATCTTTATTGATTAGGTGGCTGGCGAGTTTCACACTTGACTGACTTGCTTCTTTTCAGTCACTTCTCGAGTTACTTCGTGACAATCTTCTTTTTCCTGGTTGGTTACCCCCAACGCATTGATTTTAACCAATCAGGAATTTTGTCTCTAAATCGCCGCTAGTCCTTTGTGCCCTTGGCGCGCTTTTTCCAGGACCGCGGCGAATTATGGTGGGGGCGTATTGTCCGCTGTAGCGCATTCGGCAACGCGGCGGATTTTCCTCCAGGTCCGGTACTTGAGACATGTGTCTTGGGCCTCTGGGCCCGTACGCGGACCTTTCGGCAATCCTTGGTTTATGACATGGCAAATTGCTATCGAGACCGTTGGTGAAAGTTTCTACGAAAACATGCATTGTTCGATTTACTAAAGATTAACCCTTGTGTGGCCAACCAAAATATTCACCGTTGTTGGACAACCGGGGTACCGGGATACCCACATAGGAGAAATTATAATTAGACGAATTATGAATGGAAATTTTGGGAAGAAATTATACAGAATAGAAAATTGTTAATGCTACTTATCTATTAAAATAAAAAATTTTAATTATAATGATTAAGTTACTGTAGGGCAATTTTTACAGATTGTAATTGTGTTTGCATGTTTATCGCAAACTGGTAGTAAACATTTCTGACAGCTTTTTCTTGTTTTCCTGCATTTTTTAGCACGATCTGCCTGACACATGTGACATGATCCTACAACTCTTTTTCTTCCACTTGCGTCTAACGAGAACAACGTCGATTGTACAGAACTAGTAGAAGGACTGTTTATTGGGCGTGATGTAAATAGTATACTGTCTACTGCTAATTTAGTTGAAGAGTGTCGATTTTGAATAGTTGAAATACAAAGTTCTTTATTTAATTGGCGTAAAAATATACGACGATCATTTGTTTTTTATGCAACATGCTATTATTTGAGTGATATATAAGGTAGGAGGAAAGAGCGGCAATGTCTAATATGTTATAAAAGAGTGCTAGTGGCTATTTGGTAGTTCGTCTTTTCGTGGTATACCTTCCTAACATTTCATCCATTGTGTCAACGCCAGATTTTGTTTAATTATAAAATTTAATAATTTCTGGTTTTCTTTTTGGTACAGAGACAGCATTACCAGTATACATTGTTGACAATAGTATGACGGCTTTTTCCTTTTTCGGCACATACGAGCAGAGTGTAATATTTTCATGGTATCCAAATAAGGAACTAATTGCTAAAGAGCAAAATGAGCATGTAGAGAGTCAAGATGAACATGCATGCATACGAACGACAGGGACTGTTGTCTTTATCATGAAATTATATTGTAGTTTTGAATAATGTTTCAATCAAATCTTTTAGAACAGTATTTGGTATATTACAGGAAGAAAACATTAAGAGCATCGGATAAGAATGACAGTAAAATTACCGTTACATATCTCATGTATCGAAATAAGACGCTTGGGGCACCCGGGTACCCTGGTTGTCCAGCAAGCGTGTAAATAAGATTGAAGTTTAATTATTTCAAATATTTTGTATCACTTTTTTTCACGAAACATTAATCGATATAAAAGTGTCCAAAGAATAGGGATCTGAAACCGATTTGCGATAATTTGTCAAGGACAATTAAAATTTCTGAAGAAAATATAGAAATGGGCACCTGGGTACCCGGTTGTCCATACAAGGGTTAAACAGACTAAAACGGTTTCCTCAAAAATAGCTTTGCTAGCGCGCACGCCATAAACCGTGTTGGTCATCTGCGCGACAAATGTTTGCTTCTGCACTACAGCTGGCCGCCACATATATTATATATATACTTATTGAAAAATATTTCATTAAAATTACAAGAATCGTCATCAGGATTTGTCGCGTACATAATTTCTTATCACACGTAATATTAGCAGATAAAAATCGACAAGAGCATTTTGATACCTTTTAAAGTTTCGAAAGATAAACCCAGATTCCGCCGACAGGCGACGAAAGAAAGTAAGAGGGTGATAATTTTATCGGACGTTTCGTCTTCGGCGATAATTCTATTTTGTAGCTTCTCAGCAAGGCAGCTAGGCAAGCTTTCATCTGTAGCATAGCCATTCTCATTCCTACGCAAATTCTCGGACCTTCGCCGAACGGAAGGAAGGTCATTTTTTCTATAGAATGTTTCCTCTCTTCGTTGAATCGTTCCGGATCGAAGTCGTCCGGGTTCGTCCAATATTTTGGGTCGTGTTGTAAAGCGTAAACAGGTATAAGTATCTCGATGCCAGGTTTCGCTCTGAACGTCAATCCATCGGAACCTTGCAGCTCGAATTCCTTCGTGCATATCTTGTGCAAGGAGGTAAGAACAGGGAAATCTCTTTGCGACTCGCTGATCACTTGTTCCATATAGGTCATCTCTTTCAACGCATCGAACGTTAACACACCGTCGTATTTGGCAATTTTAGCGTTCACTTCGTCTCGCAACTTCTCTTGAATGTCCGTATGAAGAGCCAAATGATAGCCGATGAAACTAAGCGTAATGCTGGACGATTCGATGCCGTCGACGTAGAAAGAAAGCGCGTGAGAAGTGATAGAATCTACGTCCAATTTCTCCCCCGACTTTTCTAGCTCGATCATCAATTGAAGGAAATCGTTCCTCGGCACCGATTCCGTTCGTCTCAGCTCCAGATTTTCAGCCACGATCCTCCTGAAGAATCTGTCCATCTCCTTCGGTATGAAACTTATCTTGAACAAACGAGTCAGGTGGGGCAAGAATAGCATGACGATCGTCAAGAAACTTTGCAACACATTCGGCTTGAAGATCGATCGGGAAATTTCATCGAACGCGTTAGGATACACTTTATCCTCGAAGCAAAGTCCCTCGATGCCTAAGCCAGCGTTCGCCACAACTTCACCGGTGCCTCAGCTCCAGATTTTCAGCCACGATCCTCCTGAAGAATCTGTCCATCTCCTTTGGTATGAAACGCATCTTGAACAGACGATTCAGGTGGGGCAAGAATAGCATAATTATCGTTAAGAAACCTTGCAACGCATTCGGCATGAAGATCGATCGGGAAATTTCATCGAACGCGTTGGGATGCACTTTATCCTCGAAGCAAAGTCCCTCGATGCCTAAGCCAGCGTTCGCCACAACTTCACCGGTGAATTTCGAGAACAGATACTTCAGTTCGACTTCGTATTTGTTGCTCGATTTCAGTCGTCTGTTCAGGAAATCCTCGAACTTTTTACACACCCCGCTGACAGCTATGAAAAGGGTTTTCAGCCTCACGTTGGAGAACGCGTAAGTCAAGCGTTTCCTTCCGGCCGACCATTCTTCTCCGTAAGTGAAGAACGGATTCTTGGCTAACAGAGGGTCCAAGTCGGGTTCGATTTTCGTTCCGTTCTCGTGGAAGTTCGAGAACTTACTCTGCATGACGACTTTCACCAAAGCTGGTTCGCGTACTATCAGCAGTGGTTTCGTTGCCTTGTAGAATCCCACCATACTGTGTTGCTTGTGATCGTCGTATATCTTCTGGATCACATCTTTGATGTTGCGTCTCATGAAAATGACGGACAGTATGTGACCGGCGATAGGCACGTATCCTTTCCCGACTGGAATACCATTTCTCTGCCAATAGGTATACGTTCTGTAGAGGTAGAAGCACAGTAACACTATCGCGCCCGCGAGAAGTGTCAGAAACGCAGAAGCCATTTCGTCGTCTGTGTCTAACAGAAGACTAAACGGGGACGCAGCTGTTGAGCCATCACTCCGAACAGTAACTACTACAACTCGACCATTCTTCTCCGTAAGTGAAGAACGGATTCTTGGCTAACAGAGGGTCCATGTCGGGTTCGATTTTCATTCCGTTCTGGTGGAAGTTCGAGAACTTACTCTGCATGACGACTTTCACCAAAGCTGGTTCGCGTACTATCAGCACTGGTTTCGTTGTCTTGTAGAATCCCACCATACTGTGTTGCTTGTGATCGTCGTATATCTTCTGGATCACATCTTTGATGCTGCGTCTCATGAAAATGACGGACAGTATGTGACCGGCGATAGGCAGGTATCCTTTCGCGACTGGAATACCATTTCTCTGCCAATAGGTATACGTTCTGTAGAGGTAGAAGCACAGTAACACTATCGCGCCCGCGAGAAGTGACAGAAACGCAGAAGTCATTTCGTCGTCTGTGTCTAACAGAAGACTAAACGGGAACGCAGCTGTTGAGCTATCACTCCGAACAGTAACAACTATAACCAGGACGGGACGTATATTGAAAAATGAGCAGTCTACACATATACGTAGTTTGATACTGTTATCGCTTCAATATCATATAGTTCTTTCGGATCTACGTCATGACTTGAACCAGGCAAGAGACTAATGTGACACGGCCGTGACATCTCTTTATCGCATTCGGCATCGGCATGTCCGTGAGACAATACTAACAAAACTACAAAAGTTTATTTTCCATTTTTTCGTAAATATGTGTTAATTATTTATAGGGATGGCGTAATTATGTGTGCATGTACATATGCATATGCGGAATTTCTTATTAAGTAACTAAATATTAACCGAATTATACCGTGTTTGGTCTCATTTTAATCAGAAAAACAAAATGGATATGTCAGTAAAATTTTTATCAGCGAAACAGAAAAAGCAAAAAAGTTTTTCTTTTGTATTTGAGTTGTCTCACTGTTTGATATTTTTGGACTGGCTCGACTTTCAATACCTCTCCCTTCTTTGTCTGCTGTCTCTTTCTGTGTCCGTCGGTGTCGGTAAAATACAAAGAGTTTGAGAAACCTACCACCTTTTTGTAGCTGTTACACAGCGGTCCCGACTTTGGAACTCTTATAGAACTTTTACTGTACACCGACTGTACATCCCACCACTGCCGGGATATGATCTAACGTAGTTAATCCCCTCGTGACGATGCGTCTTTATCAGTTTTTATGACGCAAACATTGTGTACACGTAAACATAAACATTTTATGCAATTCGACGTTGCGAACGCTGTCTCAATTGTGTGAGACGCGAGAAGGAAACAAAAAACTAAGTGATTGTCTAATTAATTTCTTTAGATAGATCCCCACGCGCTGTAATGCAACTATGTACGTTTTCTGTTGCAGCCCCTCCTCGTTTAATGCAACGGTCTCCCCGAACCCGTGAACTTTATGAAAACTTCGGTAAGTGCCGCGCAGATTCGTAATTTATGCTCTTTCCACAATGATACATACCGTAAGAGAGGGAGAGATCGAGCAGGGGAAAGATAGAGGGAAAATTGGCCTTAGTTCATGGCTGATTAACAAGGCGAGCAATATGTACACGTCAACAAGGACGTCACTTTGAACAGTTTATTCAATAATGTAATGTAATTAACGTTAGTAATGTCAAGAAAATTAATAAATGTATTATCCATACATTAACATTTCTTATTTATTAACACATATCTAAATCTAGACGTGGTACAGTGCACATGCACTGGATAGAATTTTCAAACTCGATTTTCTCGAAAACGAAGCGTCAAACGAAAAAATGTTATTTCTTTTTTTCGACTTATTTTTACATGTAGTATCACCCTCTGCTCGGTTGCACCACCCGTCCGGCCAAACCCTGTATATCCAAATAGGAGCCTTTATGAAGATTAGCGAGAATCTGTGGTTAGTCTGTCCCTTTGGTGGCAGAGCGTAGGAGTGTCGCTACATCACCCCCTTGCCAGTGATTAACGATATGCTGATCATCCGCGTTTTTGCTGTTTTTCCGTTGCTTGCCAGGTTGCGACGAATGGTCGCGCTACTAGAGGTGCGCTTGCTTGGAACTGCCTTTTGGTCGTTACGCGAGCGCTTGCTCAAGCCGATTTGCAGCCGTATACAGTAAATTCTCTACAAGAGTCAGTAAGTTTGAATTCTACAAGGGACCGTATAGATGGTCCTACGTCTAGGTCTGCGTCATTGCTGCGCCCATGTCATCACGCTCGCAGTCAGTCAAGCGTGTAACGCTTTACGAGATTTCACGGCTCGACAAATCATAATAGAAAAATATAATTTCTATAATTTTACTTTTTTTCATCTGGAATTTCTTTTAACATGTTGGTGAGATTTTTCTTATGAAAATGATATCAAGCACGATATAATTTGAATATTTACTTATGAACACGTTCACTGTCGCGCCAGATTTACAGGTTGCTGTCAGGCGGCCACAAGAAAATAGATTTTAAGAATAGGATTATAGTATTATGCTTTATAATTTTTTTTTTCAAATGAAAATAATGTCTAGCTAGCTATGACGTTCAAAATTTTTAGTTGACAACATCTATTGTAATTATTGTAAACATTTGAGGCACTCCAGTCACTGATAACCACCATGGCCATATCGAGGAAACAATCTAATGTTAATACTTATTGAGTGATTAATTTAATTTCATAATATATCGCTTTGAATAAATTACCAAAACAAATTGCTAAGAAATTACAGTAAATACCGGAACACATTATCCGTCGAATGTAGAGGGAGAGCCACCGTTTGGTTGCCAATTGTTCATCACATAGAGTCGGCCTACCTCCACGTAAAAAAAAAAAATGTAAGATCGATTCCACAAGTGTCAGTAAAATGTAGAGTCGGCCTACATCCACGCGAATTTATATTATTTGCAATATTATTATTGAACTAAACTTTCGTATTAATTCTCATAATTTTTTGGTATAAATTTATACTTCTAACAATTTGTTATAACATTGCATATAACAATTTATACGTTTTTACAATATTCTTCAATGGAAACATAGGTTTTAGCGTTCTCGTTACTTACTCGTGCTTAAATTAATTTCGTAAGGATTAAAAATCAGGTTGACCTGTGGTCGTAGATTAAAAATAACCATAGTACAGCTAAATTTATCGTGTTAAATAATTCTTTTTACACGAATGAAAAATGTATTCAATGTTTGTTTGTTATAATATCGTGAAATGAATTATATTACACATTTTCTCTATTCACACTGAATTTAAAGATTATAACGATTAAAAATCAAGTTGACCTGTGGTCATTTATCAAGAATAATCATAATAAAGCTGAAATTATTGTGTTAAATAACTTTTTTAATACGAATTAGGAATTTATTCAACGTTTGCTTGTTACTACTTGTTACAGTATACTGTCTCGCAATGTAAATTTAAGTAAATTAGGTTGAAAAGAATAGTTACATAGTTACATATCATTTCACGATATTATAACAAACAAACGTTGAATACATTTTTCATTCGTGTCAAAAGAATTATTTAACACGATAAATTTAGCTGTACTATGGTTATTTTTAATCTACGACCACAGGTCAACCTGATTTTTAATCCTTAGCAAATTAATTAAACCACCAGTAAGTAACGAGGACATTGAAACGTAGTTATCCATTGAATAAAGTTATAGAAACGTATAAATGATTCTATGTAGCGTTATAATAGATTGTTGCAAGTAATAAATTAATAACAGAAATTTCCCGCGAAAAGTAATCGGTTTCCCGCGAAAAATAGTCGATTCCCGCCTGACCTAACCGACGATTTTGCTAATGACTTTGGGGAGAGGGTACCGCAGGTATATAAGGACCCGCCCATGTCCCGCCAACTTATTCACCCTTTATACTGGGCCCTAGACACTTCGCGGCATATTTTGACCTGAAGGTTCTGAGATGTGAATAGAGTGGTCGGGGGCTACTAGCTAGCCTATGTCCACCCTGTACACACTCAGCCTTCTTGTAACACTTGTATACATTAGAATCAATTAGAATTTCAATAGATACCTATTAGAAATTTTCCTTTGAAAACAAATATAAATCATTTTACCAATTACTGGTACTTGCTAGACATTTAATATCAGACTTTAAATATTCTCCTTTCGGTTCTTTTAAATACAATCAAATAATTTCTTCAATTATCGATACTGACTTGGAATACTCCGCTTCGAATAAAATATTACGAAATTATTTTGAAGGTTTAGGGAAATAAACATTTGAATTTTAGTCATCGTTGTTCTTCAGACTTGTCGAATAGGATATTGAAATGACTTTGAGCAATTGAAATTAATTTCAAATTTTTCTTATATTTTCTCTGATATTGAATTTATTTTATGACTTGCCATCCAAGGAATTTGCATGAATTGCATGTTAAGTAGTTAGTCGATTTATTATTGCATATTGTGAGCTAATTTGGAACGAGTGCACTACACTCGTGCACTATGCCCACCCTAAATTAAACCGTCTCAGTAGTTTACCGTAATTAATAATCTATTTTCGGAATTTATACGAGAATTTTTGAATTTTAGTAAATACTAGAGTCAGTGCATCGCGTATTGAAATAATAGCTTCATCCCTAGTTCGTTTATTATTGAATATTTTTACGCGTTTAACTTATGCTTCTCCCCAATTCTTGTCGCGTATTTTATTCAAATTTTCTTATATTCTAGAATCGAAAAAGATACGAATTCGCGTTTTTTCTTTTGATCCTTTCAATTTTTCAATTGCATTACGCATTATTGCAATAATTTCTATCGTTACATTTAATTCTAATTGTTTAGCAGCTTTTCTGCTGCTATCGAGCCTACATTTTACTCACACTTGTGGAATCGACCCTACTCTCCAAATGAAATTTTCCAAAATAACAGTTGAAGAATTTTGGATTTCTGTTCAAGCCGAGTTTGAAACTGTTTCTGAAAAAGCGATTAAAATTTTATTACAATTTTCAACATCGTACTTATGCGAGCTTGGTTTTTGAACATTAACGAATATTAAGACAAAGAAACGTGAAAGGCTGACAAATATAGAAGAGGAAATGAGAGTAGCTATTTCACACATAAGACCAGATACTGAAAACATTTGTAAAAGTCATCAGGCCCAAATATCCCATTAAAAAAATTGTGACAATTTTCTTTTTTTTACATTTCATTTACTGATTGTTATTTGCTATTGACTGATATGTAAACTGTTATCTATGTGATTTTTATTTATTATGCAATATAAAAAATATATATACCGTTTTATTTTACGACTGTGTTCCGCAAAAATCTTGTAAAATTGTAAGTGTTCCGTGACTCTGAAAAGGTTAGGAAGCACTGATCTAAAGGATCGAAGGATTATTTGTGTAACAGGGTTATTTATTACCCGCACAGTAAGTTCTTTGAAATATCTTTATTGATTAGATGGCTGGCGAGTTTCACACTTGACTGACTTGCTTCTTTTCAGTCACTTCTCGAGTTACTTCGTGACAATCTTCTTTTTCCTGGTTGGTTACCCCCAACGCATTGATTTTAACCAATCAGGAATTTTGTCTCTAAATCGCCGTTAGTCCTTTGTGCCCTTGGCGCGCTTTTTCCAGGACCGCGGCGAATTATGGTGGGGGCGTATTGTCCGCTGTAGCGCATTCGGCAACGCGCCGGATTTTCCTCCTGGTCCGGTACTTGAGACATGTGACTTGGGCCTCTGGGCCCGTACGCGGACCTTTCGGCAATCCTTGGTTTATGACCTGGCAAATTGCTATTGAGACCGTTGGTGAAAGTTTCTACGAAAACATGCATTGTTCGATTTACTAAAGATTAACCCTTGTGTGGCCAACCAAAATATTCACCGTTGTTGGACAACCAGGGTACCGGGGTACCCACATAGGAGAAATTATAGTTAGACGAATAATGAATGGAAATTTTGGGAAGAAATTATACAGAATAGAAAATTGTTAATGCTACTTTTCTATTAAAATAAAAAATTTTAATTATAATGATTAATTTACTGTAGGGCAATTTTTACAGATTGTAATTGTGTTTGCATGTTCATCGCAAACTGGTAGTAAACATTTCTGACAGCTTTTTCTTGTTTTCCTGCATTTTTTAGCACGATCTGCCTGACACATGTGACATGATCCTACAACTCTTTTTCTTCCACTTGCGTCTAACGAGAACAACGTCGATTGTACAGAACTAGTAGAAGGACTGTTTATTGGGCGTGATGTAAATAGGATACTGTCTACTGCTAATTTAGTTGAAGAGTGTCGATTTTGAATAATTGAAATACAAAGTTCTTTATTTAGTTGGCGTAAAAATATACCACGATCATTTGTTTTTTATGCAACATGCTATTATTTGAGTGATATATAAGGTAGGAGGAAAGAGCGGCAATGTCTAATATGTTATAAAAGAGTGCTAGTGGCTATTTGGTAGTTCGTCTTTTCGTGGTATACCTTCCTAACATTTCATCCATTGTGTCAACGCCAGATTTTGTTTAATTATAAAATTTAATAATTTCTGGTTTTCTTTTTGGTACAGAGACAGCATTACCAGTATACATTGTTGACAATAGTATGACGGCTTTTTCCTTTTTCGGCACATACGAACAAAGTGTAATATTTTCATGGTCTCCAAATAAGGAACTAATTGCTAAAGAGCAAAATGAGCAAGTAGAGAGTCAAGATGAACATGCATGCATACGAACGACAGGGACTGTTGTCCTTATCATGAAATTATATTGTAGTTTTGAATAATTTTTCCTTCAAATCTTTTAGAACAGTATTTGGTATATTACAGGAAGAAAACATTAAGAGCATCGGATAAGAGCAGAGTGTAATATTTTCATGGTATCCAAATAAGGAACTAATTGCTAAAGAGCAAAATGAGCATGTAGAGAGTCAAGATGAACATGCATGCATACGAACGACAGGGACTGTTGTCTTTATCATGAAATTATATTGTAGTTTTGAATAATGTTTCAATCAAATCTTTTAGAACAGTATTTGGTATATTACAGGAAGAAAACATTAAGAGCATCGGATAAGAATGACAGTAAAATTACTGTTACATATCTCATGTATCGAAATAAGACGCTTGGGGCACCCGGGTACCCGGTTGTCCACACAAGGGTTAAACAGACTAAAACGGTTTCCTCAAAAATAGCTTTGCTAGCGCGCACGCCATAAACCGTGTTGGTCATCTGCGCGACAAATGTTTGCTTCTGCACTACAGCTGGCCGCCACATATATTATATATTCTTATTGAAAAATATTTCATTAAAATTACAAGAATCGTCATCAGGATTTGTTGCGTACATAATTTCTTATCACACGTAATATTAGCAGATAAAAATCGACAAGAGCATTTTGATACCTTTTAAAGTTTCGAAAGATAAACCCAGATTCCGCCGACAGGCGACGGAAGAAAGTAAGAGAGTGATAATTTTATCGGACGTTTCGTCTTCGGTGATAATTCTATTTTGTAGCTTCTCAGCAAGGCAGCTAGGCAAGCTTTCATCTGTAGCATAGCCATTCTCATTCCTACGCAAATTCTCGGACCTTCGCCGAACGGAAGGAAGGTCATTTTTTCTATAGAATGTTTCCTCTCTTCGTTGAATCGTTCCGGATCGAAGTCGTCCGGGTTCGTCCAATATTTTGGGTCGTGTTGTAAAGCGTAAACAGGTATAAGTATCTCGTTGCCAGGTTTCGCTCTGAACGTCAATCCATCGGAACCTTGCAGCTCGAATTCCTTCGTGCATATCTTGTGCAAGGAGGTAAGAACAGGGAAATCTCTTTGCGACTCGCTGATCACTTGTTCCATATAGGTCATCTCTTTCAACGCATCGAACGTTAACACACCGTCGTATTTGGCAATTTTAGCGTTCACTTCGTCTCGCAACTTCTCTTGAATGTCCGTATGAAGAGCCAAATGATAGCCGATGAAACTAAGCGTAATGCTGGACGATTCGATGCCGTCGACGTAGAAAGAAAGCGCGTGAGAAGTGATAGAATCTACGTCCAATTTCTCCCCCGACTTTTCTAGCTCGATCATCAATTGAAGGAAATCGTTCCTCGGCACCGATTCCGTTCGTCTCAGCTCCAGATTTTCAGCCACGATCCTCCTGAAGAATCTGTCCATCTCCTTCGGTATGAAACTCATCTTGAACAGACGATTCAGGTGGGGCAAGAATAGCATGATCATCGTTAAGAAACCTTGCAACGCATTCGGCTTGAAGATCGATCGGGAAATTTCATCGAACGCGTTAGGATGCACTTTATCCTCGAAGCAAAGTCCCTCGATGCCTAAGCCAGCGTTCGCCACAACTTCACCGGTGAATTTCGAGAACAGATACTTCAGTTCGACTTCGTATTTGTTGCTCGATTTCAGACGTCTGTTTAGGAAATCCTCGAACTTTTTACACACCCCGCTGACAGCTGTGAAAAGGGTTTTCAGCCTCACGTTGGAGAACGCGTAAGTCAGGCGTTTCCTTCCGGCCGACCATTCTTCTCCGTAAATGAAGAACGGATTCTTGGCTAACAGAGGGTCCATGTCGGGTTCGATTTTCATTCCGTTCTGGTGGAAGTTCGAGAACTTACTCTGCATGACGACTTTCACCAAAGCTGGTTCGCGTACTATCAGCACTGGTTTCGTTGTCTTGTAGAATCCCACCATACTGTGTTGCTTGTGATCGTCGTATATCTTCTGGATCACATCTTTGATGCTGCGTCTCATGAAAATGACGGACAGTATGTGACCGGCGATAGGCAGGTATCCTTTCGCGACTGGAATACCATTTCTCTGCCAATAGGTATACGTTCTGTAGAGGTAGAAGCACAGTAACACTATCGCGCCCGCGAGAAGTGTCAGAAACGCAGAAGCCATTTCGTCGTCTGTGTCTAACAGAAGACTAAACGGGGACGCAGCTGTTGAGCCATCACTCCGAACAGTAACAACTATGATGAGGACGGGATGTATATTGAAAAATGAGCAGTCTACACATATACGTAGTTTGATAGTGTTATCGCTTCAATATCATATAGTTCTTTCGGATCTACGTCATGACTTGAACCAGGCAAGAGACTAATGTGACACGGCCGTGACATCTCTTTATCGCATTCGGCATCGGCATGTCCGTGAGACAATACTAACAAAACTACAAAAGTTTATTTTCCATTTTTTCGTAAATATGTGTTAATTATTTATAGGGATGGCGTAATTATGTGTGCATGTACATATGCATATGCGGAATTTCTTATTAAGTAACTAAATATTAACCGAATTATACCGTGTTTGGTCTCATTTTAATCAGAAAAACAAAATGGATATGTCAGTAAAATTTTTATCAGCGAAACAGAAAAAGCAAAAAAGTTTTTCTTTTGTATTTGAGTTGTCTCACTGTTTGATATTTTTGGACTGGCTCGACTTTCAATACCTCTCCCTTCTTTGTCTGCTGTCTCTTTCTGTGTCCGTCGGTGTCGGTAAAATACAAAGAGTTTGAGAAACCTACCACCTTTTTGTAGCTGTTACACAGCGGTCCCGACTTTGGAACTCTTATAGAACTTTTACTGTACACCGACTGTACATCCCACCACTGCCGGGATATGATCTAACGTAGTTAATCCCCTCGTGACGATGCGTCTTTATCAGTTTTTATGACGCAAACATTGTGTACACGTAAACATCAACATTTTATGCAATTCGACGTTGCGAACACTGTCTCAATTGTGTGAGACGCGAGAAAGAAACAAAAAACTAAGTGATTGTCTAATTAATTTCTTTAGATAGATCCCCACGCGCTGTAATGCAACCCTGTACGTTTTCTGTTGCAGCCCCACCACGTTTAATGCAGCGGTCTCCTCGAACCCGTGAACTTTATGAAAACTTTGGTAAGTACCGCGCAGATTCGTAATTTATCCTCCTTCCACAATGATACATACCGTAGGAGAGAGGGAGAGATCGAGGAGGGGAAAGATAAAGGGAAAACTGCCGTGCTCCCAGACTAATGGCTAGGCTCTACGAACTCTGTTCGTTTTCACACTAGCGAGAACTATCGGAAAACTGTTTGGTTTCCCGAGAAACTCTTACTCTGTTCCGTTTCGAGATGCAGCACGCGTATTATGCGAGAGATAAGTAACGAAAGTACATCCACGAGGATGCTCCAACTTCGCGAGCAATTTACCGTCAAGCAACGGTTTTCCGTTTGATCGCGAGAAACAATACGTACACAGATCGGGAACGAGGTCGAGTTTGTTTGAAATAACCGATTGCATTTCGGCGTTCCTACGTTCGCCGACGTATCAACACAGAAGAACAAGCTCGTACGGAAACTTTCGAACGATTAATTTGTCGTTTTAACACCGATATCGATTAGCCGGGGGTGAATTTTGCATCCTTCGGAGTCAGTTAAACGGAGCTTACCAGGTGTAGCTAGTATCCGATAAGGTGTCCTCTCTCATCTCTCTTTACCTCTCTCTTGTCCCTGCCAAAGGCAGCCTCTGGTAATTAAGTCGAGCCCACAGCAACGTTGCTTCCATTGTACAGGGCAAATGGGCTGTTTAGCCCGGATACATGACTCCATCCCCCTGTTATTGTGCATGTACCGGCGCAATCGATCACCACCCCTGCTTTATTCTCGCCCCCT